ATCCCGATAACTGTAATAGCCCAAAAGGAGTACTAGTAGCCTCAACACTCGTCGACCTATCCAGAACGGTTATCCCGGTGAGAGTCGCCAATGTAACTGAGAAGGCGAGAGTTATTAAGAAAGATGAAGTAATTGCAGCATGTACTCCAGTAACCACCGTTGAAAGAAAGAGTAACATCCCAGAATCCGTGTCTTTAGAGAAGCATTACATCAGGAGTTACTTGCAGAAATGCGCAATTAAACGATGAATGAGAGAAGAATGCTGCCGATCGTGTCATTAAAGAATCTTCAAGATTGTTTTCTCCCGCTCGTCTTCTGACGTGGATCGAACCAATTTGACGTACAACATAGAATCGATACCGGTGATCATCCACCAATCAAGCAACATCCAAGACGTTTACCGATTGCTAAACAGGAAGACATATACGAAACACTTTTAAAGGATATGGAAGAAGGCGATGTCATCGAAGCCTTCAGCAAGTCCATGGGAATCTCCATCGTTCTTAGTCAGAAAGAAAGACGGCTCAACAAGATTTTGCGTTGACTATCGCCGGTTGAATGAGGTTTACGAAGACAGTTACCCTCTTCCTAGAATTGACGACATTCTAGACACTCTTTCTGGAAGCAAGTGGTTCTCAACGCTTGATTTAAAGAGTGGGTATTGGCAGGTAGAAATACACCCTCATGACCGAGAAAAAAAGACGGCATTTACTACGGGATAAGGCGTTTGGCATTCAAGGTGATGCCGTTTGGACTGTGTAATGCGCCGGCAACATTCGAACGCCTCATGGAGACTGTTTTGAAAGGTCTTTCCTATGAAGCCTGTCTGATATACCTGGACGATATTATCAAAGTCGGAAAGAGTTTTGAAGAGCATCTAGAAAATCTTAGAAAGGTGCTTCAGAAACTGAAAGAAGCCAATCTAAAGCTGAGTCCCGCTAAATGCAAATTGTTCCGAAAGGAAGTGATTTACCTGGGACATGTCATCTCTGCAGAAGGTGTGTGCACGGATCCTGAAAAGGTGTCAGCCGTTAAATCCTGGAAACGTCCCGAAAATGTCCATCAGCTGAGAAGCTTCCTAGGGCTTTGCACCTACTATAGGAGATTCGTGAAGGACTTTTCTTCCATCGCAAAACCCCTTCACAAGCTGACAGAGACTAAGCAAAAGTTCTTGTGGACAAAAGAATGCGAGGATGCATTTAACAACTTAAAGGATGCTTTAACATCTGCTCCAATCCTGACGTAGCCTCAGCTCGACAGACCATTTATTCTCGACACGGATGCGAGCAATGAAAGTGTCGGTGCTGTTTTGTCCCAAGAAATAGACCGCCAAGAACGTGTAGTGGCGTACTGGAGCAAGTGCCTGTCTAAACCGGAGAGGAATTATTGTGTCACCAGGAAAGAGTTGCTCTCCATAGTCAAAGCTGTTAGAACAGTTACATCACTATCTATACGGCAGAAAATCCTGCTCCGCACCGATCATGCATCATTGACCTGGCTTTTAAATTTCAAGAATCCTGAGGGTCAAATAGCCAGGTGGATACAGAGACTCCAAGAATATGACATCACTATCCGACATCGTAAGGGATCATCACACGGGAACGCCGACGCTCTGTCTAGACGACTTTGCCCAGAAAGATGCCGATATTGTTCCAGGGTGGAAGCGAAATACGAGCTGCTGACTCCGGTCGCAAGACAAATTACAACATCAACATCGGCTGATTGAGACCCGTGGAGTGATGATGAAGACAGGAAAGACCAGCTGGAAGACCCGCGACATTAAACCCATAATTGATTTAATGGAGTAGTCATCAAACAGAAAACCTACTTGGCAGGACATTTTCATCTGTAGTCCTACAACAAACAATACTGGGCACTCTGGGATTCACTTCACATTCGAAACGGCGTCTTATACCGGAAATTCGAATCGGATGATGGGAAGACGTTCCGATGGCAAACTGATACTTCCAAGATCCCGGATTCCTGATGTCCTTAAAGAACTACATAACAGCCCTACAGGAGGTCACTTTGGAATATAAAGACTTACAGAGAGTTCGTGAGCGCTTTTACTGGAATAATGCAAAGGATGACGTGCAAAAGTGGTGCCGATCTTGCGATGCCTGTGCAGGTCGGAAAGGACCGAGAAAACGCAGCCGAGGCAAGCTGCAACGTTACAACGTAGGTGCGCCGTTTGAACGTATCGCCTTTGACATCTTGGGGCCTCTGACACGAATTGCTGATGGCAACAAATACATACTCGTTGTCATTGATTACTTCACCAAGTGGCCTGAAGCGTATCCTATTCCTGACCAAGAGGCTGTTACAGTAGCTGAGGTGATGATACAGCACTGGATTCCCAGGTTCGGAGTACCTCTTCAGTTACATTCCGATCAGGGAAGGAATTTTACCTCGGTAGTAATCAAAGAACTATGCAAACTACTCGGCATTGACAAAACCCAGACGACGCCATTACATCCCCAGTCGGACGGCATGGTAGAGAGGTTCAATCGAACCATCCTTAATAACCTCTCATTAGTGGTTTCCAGAAACCAGCAGGACTGGGACAAGAATTATCACTGTTTTTACTGGCTTACCGCAGTGCGGTCCACGAGACTACCGGCTATTCCCCGTCACAGATGCTCTTCGGTCGTGACCTTCGTCTGCCTTGTGATCTCTTGTTTGGTCGCCCTCCGGATGCTCCTTCATCGCCTGAGGAACATATTCAAGATCTCCAGGCCCGGTTTGAAGTGATGCACAACTATGCACGAGAGCGAGTCAACTTGGCGACGGAGAAGATGAAGACCCGATAAGACACAAGAGCTACTGAACATCAATTCCACGAAGGAGACAAAGTGTGGTTGTGGAATCCGACTCGACGGAAAGGACTTTGTCCGAATTACAGTCACCTTGGGATGGCCCGTACACAGTCCTAAAAAGGCTGAATGACGTCGTGGTTCGGATTCGTAAGTCTTCGAACTCTAAACCTAAAGTCGTTCATTACGACAGGTTAGCTCATTACTATGGCCATAATACGTAATGTAAATAATTGTAAATAGTATAAGACCATGGTCCTTTTTGTTTTTAAGTGTGTATTTGAAATGATTTCTTTAAGTTAGCTATTGCATTTATTGTTCATGTTGTTTGATATTGTAATGTAATGTTTATGCCTCAGTTGTAAGTTCGGCTTCTTGTCCAGGGATTGTACTGCCCGGGACGTGCAGTCCTTGGGAAGGGGGGCAGTGTTACGAATTTGGTATTTAAAAAGCTAATGTTAGTTCAATTATAAATTAAATGGTTTTATTTCTCGCGCAGTGCAGCGCGTGTCGAATATTAAAAGAAAGCTAAGCCGGAAAATTGAAAATACAAGAGCGCGTGCATTAAATAAATAAATAACTCTTTTTGATTTCGAGAAAGTACTAGAAAATTCTAGCGCATGATTTTAAAATCTTATAAAAGGAGGAAAACATCTCAGTTTGTAGTAGTTGCTTAGTTTGTTGTTGTTTAGAAAACTGCTCTTGTTGATTGTAGCGAATTCGCGGATTAGCTTTCTTTAGCTGTTTTGAATTACGTTCTATTGGACATTTGAGTAGTTAAAAGATAACTACTTTGAGGTATTGTAATACTGCATGATAATTTGAGATTTAAGCATTTTTGTTGTGATAATAATAAATTTTTGTTCATTTTGCATCGGACTTGTGCATTCATTTCATAACGAACCCGTACGCACGCAACAATATGTTAACTGGTGTAAAAAGATAGTTCGGAAGGTATTGCATTGATAGACGAATTGCAACAACTGCTAAAAAGGGGTGGCTTTGAGCTTCACAAATGGTCGACAAGTGAACTGTCATTGTTAAAAACCTCTGGCTTAACAAACACAGATAGTGACAATATTCATTGTGTAATAGAGGACAAAACATTGAAAGTTCTGGGATTGGAATGGCATCCGGACAATGATGAATTCAAATGCAATGTCGGTGTAATAGAGTATCAAAGTGTTCCGACTAAAAGGATTATTTTGTCATTCAAAAAGCTATTCGACCCATTGGGGTGGATAGCTCCGTTTAGTAATTCTCGCTAAAATGATCCTTCAGCAATTGTGAAATTACAATTATCATGGGATGATCCTGTAACAGAGATTGATCGAAATTGGGAGAATCTATGTAGAGAAGTTAAACTTTTGAATTCTATAAATATACCTAGGAAAATTCTTCTACCTGATTATTTCGATGTGAACATCACGGATTTGTGATGGTCTGAAAGAGTTATGCAACAGTTATTTATATCAATAACTTGCAATAACTCTGACATTAATGTTAAACTTGTAACCAGCTAAAACAACTCGTGTAGCACCATTAAAATCTGTTACGATTCCAAAACTGGACTTATGTGCAGCCGTGTTATTGGCACGCTTGATTCAGTCTGTAAAAGCTGCATTAGTCATAAATTTTGATTTAGTGCAAGCTTGGAGTGATTCACAATCGTGTTGTCATGGCTAAGGTCAGATCCTAAAAAATGGCAAGTATTCGTATCCAATAGAGTTTCTGAAATACAATCCATCTTACCACCTGAGAACTGGAGTCATGTTGATGGAAAAGAAAATCCAGCTGATTGCTGCTTCAAGTGGGTTATTCCTGCAGAACTATTATCTCATCAATTGCGGTGGGAATGGTCCTTCTTGGTTAAAGTGCAGTGAGACTGCCTGTCTAAAAATATTCTTATAGATGAAGAGGCATTACCAGATGCACGTAAAACAGTCTCATTTGTAGTTTCTGAACCGTACAGGAACTTGCTATTATATCAAATATATCTTCATTTCCAAAGTTACAACGCATATTGCTTGGATATAAGATTCATATCGAATTCTAAGTAGCATATCTAGAAGAAATACGTCTTTTTTATCTAGTAATGAAATTCGAGCTGCAACTTCTGTATTTTCCGAATAATACAGCGATTTCACTTTAAAAGAAATTCAATGTTTGGAGTGGGAAAGGACTTACCTACAAACAGCAACCTCCTTAGTTTGTGTCCAATTTTAGATGACAACAAAGTGTTACGTGTAGGAGGAAGACTGAAAAATACGCAACTATCAGAAAATTAAAAACATCCAATCTTATTACTTTCAAAACACAATCTGACAGAAATCATAATTAGACACTTTCATGTCAAATATCTGCATGCAGTACCAGAACTTCTATCTTTAATTAGACAGCAATTTTGGATCATAGCTGCTAGATCTGCTATCCGAAAAGTACTAAGATCTTGTATCACGTGTTGCAAACTTAGAGCTAAAAATGCAAGTCAAATAATGGCTGATCTACCGGGAATCTACTAGAGTAACACAATCGCGACCATTTCATCGAACTGGAATAAATTTTTGTGGACCGTTCATGATTAAACATCGCGCAGGACGTGGACAAAAATCACTTTAAATGCTTACGTATGCTTAATTATGTGTGTTTTGTAATCAAGGCAGTACATCTTCAAGTGGTAGAAGATTTGTCAACAAAGGCATTTTTTTAAGTGAATTGAAACGATTTATTGCAAGAAGAGGAAAACTATTTGAGAATTTATAGTGACTGCGGTACTAACTTTTAAGGTGCAAGACAAAGAAATCAAGAAAATGTTTTTTGCAATGTAAGCAAAATCAAGAAATTCACAAATTTTTTGTCTTAGAGAAAATAAAATGGATATTCAACCCGCCATCATCTCCCCATTTTGGTGGACTTTGGGACTCGGCAGTAAAGTCAATGAAATTACATCTAAAAAGGACTGTTGGTGATACTGTGCTGACCTATCCGGAATTTCAGAACTTGATAGCGCAGGTTGAGGCTTGTCTCAACTCTAGGCCATTGTGTCCAACATCGGCTGATCCAAATGATTTAACTGCATTAACACCTGATCATTTCCTAATAGAAACGTCTTTAACTGCCATACCTGAACCAGACCTAAATTATAGTCCCTTCAATCACCTTGACAGATGGCATGTGAGACAGTTTATTTTTCAGCACTTCTGAAAAAGATGGAATCGAGAATACCTGTCTCAGCTTCAGCAAAGACCTAAATGGCAAAAAAGTCAAAACAATTTAGAAGTCAATGACTTAGTCCTCATCAAAGAAGAGACAATCTTCCGCCTCTTAAATGGAGGTTAGGGAGAATAATTGCTGTTCATCCGGGCTCAGATCATAGAGTCAGAGTTATTAGTAAAACTGGTCATGGTGTCATAAAACGACCAGTCGTGAAATTGTGTCCTGTTCCTATTCAGACTAAAAACTATGAACTGCTTCGCATATAATATTTTGTATTATTTTTCTTATGTTTATCTTTTACAGACTAAGAAGTTTCAAAGTGCTCCAACTGTTGAAAATGTTTATGTGAGTATCGTTTGCTTCATTTTATTGTTGCAAACAGCGTAAATTTCTTTTGTTTTTCTTCCTTTAGTTTTGAACTTTATGTGTGGCAACAAGATAATTGATTGATAGAATTGTGTTTGTGACAGCCATGTAGAATGGCTCGCTTATTTTGTATCAATTATTTCGTATCGCTGACATCTTATTTATAATTAGTGCAATGAAATAAAAGTGAAGAAATACAGTTCATGTGTTAAGTGATTATTGTTTGTGAAACATATTAAGTAAAAATCAAATACTATTACAATCAAAGAAGCGTGTAAAAACTTGTTTATAAAAACACTGCTAATTTTGAAGATGTATTGCAGGCCATTAATTGTGCAACACTTTGAAAGAAAAGAGTTATCAAAGCCACAATCATCATATTGATAACTTATAGAGAAGAGGTGAATCATAATTCGGATCAACTTGTGGAATGCACAAAAATCCGCATCGTATGCAGCTATCATGGGCGGTAAAAACTGCTACTACAAAGGCAGTATATAGAGAGGAAGAGACATTGGGTGTACGTTTGGCATATGCCAGTTTATGTGGTTTCGATTTATTTACAAAAATTGAATAATTAAAGTCGTGGTTGGTGTGTGTTGTGCCAGTTGTTAAGCGATCACGGATTAGGAAATCACCAACTATGAACCAAAGTGAACCACATGAGCCAAAGAAGAGGTAGAACATAATTGCTACCTAGAAATTCCATAGACGCTGTATATATTATTACACGTATCGGAAATAAGCAGCACGAGAAAGCGAAATCAGAATCTACTTAAGATTAGGCAAAGCAACAAGCTTGTGTTAGGCGTAGATTTTAGTTGACACTGTATCGATTTCGAGGGAAAACAGGAGCAGAAAAACAAATTATACCAGAAAGTAACTCCTTGGCTGCAGACACACGAACGAGAATTGAAAAATTAAGTTATTAGAATTTTAAAAGCATTAAGAAGGGCTGGTTTGAAATTAAAGTCATGAAACAAACAATATAAATCTTCGTGAATGAGAAAAGTTTCAAGGAAATACAACTCACGAACTATGAAGCTTTTTGGATAATTTTTGCTAATAAGTCAAGCTTTTAGATAATAAGTCAAAATTGTGATTAAATTTCCAACAATGATTAGCTATTGAGGACTTACTAATTTCGCCTTTTCGATCATAAGATTCATGTTCCTTGATGCGAAACTTTAACGCTTTTTTAGTTTAGCAGATATTTCTGAAACCACACAAAAGATATGCTATAAACTCCCCAAGAATTAAACTCATAAATGGAATTCTTTAAGAACTGAACCGTGGATTTAATTGATAGGTGAGAAAATGACTCGAAAAATTGAACCTCTGGAGAATCCGTATAATTTTGTAACTTACAGAAGGATGAAATGAAAGAATGACAAGCTTCAAAATGTTATTTCTAATAGTGGAATGTCTTCTTTGATGGAAAGTTAAAATTTTTTTAAAGGTTTATCATTCACAAAGATTTATCTTGCTTAGGTAATGACTTTAATCCCAAATAATTAAAAACTTTCATTATAAAAAAGCTGTATTCGTTTTGGGTTCGACCATTCTATGTAAATCTGTAGTTCCTTTTAACAGATATAGATTTATTGCTGATTTCACTGGTATCTTTTGTTTTTGATACGGATATGATATATAAATTAATCAACGAATCACTTGTTGAATATTCTCCAAACGAAGAATGTAAAATTTGATGACATTTTTATGTGTTTGCAAACAAAGTAAATTATATATTCACCCAAAAGCCTTCTCTTGACAACATTTATTTTTTTTAAGAACAAATGTACTGGAATTACTGATACAAATTCAGTAATATTCTAAAAATAATGTAGACTAACAATTGTGAATTACCAAAGCTTTCTGAAGCCTGATGTTATGCACGGTTTCATAATTGGAACTGTTGGTACTACAGAACACTTCCGCTTACAAAAACATTTCAAATAGAATGAAGTTAGTTTATGTGTTTGTGGCAGTTTTCTACGTAGAAATGAAAAGTTTAATTTTTGTATGGCCTCTATCGGACGAAATGTTTAATTTACGAAGTAAATAAATAAATTATACTTAATAAGTAGTATGCAGTCAGGAAAAAACAGTAATTAATTTTCTCTAAATGCACCTTTGTTTACGCTGTTGGTTTATACGGCAGCTGATATTCTTTCGAGGAAAAAAATAAATGCCTAAAAATACTAGATAATTGATCTCAGAAAGCAGACTTGAAGTAAATTTCTGTATTTACAAAATGTTCTTAGTTGCTAACTAGCAACCTATATTTATACCGACCGAGCGAATATATTTTTAATTAATGCTAATGGATCGATTAATTTTATTACACGAAATTGTAAATTTTTTTCCTCGGGGATTATTTCAGCATAAAAAAGGGGAGAAAATCTGCTTGTTATTTAAAATGACACATCTTTATGTAAGAAAATAATAAAGAGAAGGACAAATCTTTGTAGTAAATGCTATTAGCTTTGCTCAAATAAAAATCAAATGCAATAAACTATTAATTTAAATGAGAATTAATTGTTTTTATTGCAGCTATTATTTTACAGACATCAACGTAATAAATTTCACTATGTCAAAAGCTATTATTAAAATTTAAAATTTACTGTAATGTTCAGGTCAGTTCATTTTGCAAAAATAAAATTCTCCAAACATATTTGCGAGAATTCATACTTGCAAATATTCTTATTGGGAAATATTTACAAAAAGTGAATGAAATTAATTATGTTTTACATAATAATTCGTTTATTACACTTAGTATGTGAGAAGACTTGTTGGTACTTTTCCGTTTTGCCGGCGCAAGCGATAAAGTCGCTAATAATGGTACAACCGATGCCAAACGGAATATTCTCTCTGGTAACCTTTTACGCCTCATTTTCAAAACAAGTCGCAGCTTTTTCTTATCAGATTGATTGTTTCTTTCAATAGTGGCATATAATTACATAGAATTTTTATCAGATAGTTCAGTTTTATGTCTAAGGCCATTTTCGGTAATTAAGTCAATCAGGATGCAATCACAGCGCTTACCCGAAGCCGAAAATATAGAAAATATAAGTCAAGGGTTAAATTCATCAATTCTAATGAGAATGCATTAGCGAAGTAAAGCACTGCAGCTTTACATAATTTCTGAGTAAGCTATTCGTACGAATTGAAATATTTCTTGCATTTAAACTTGTGTTCGAAATTAAGATTTAACTTGAAATTAATGTAGATAATTACTGAGAGCATTAGATTTTTGTAGAGTAGTTTACGTGAGATGAAATCGCTTGGGGTCACGTGATATGAACCGGCGAATCAAGATGTTGAACCATGAAAGTATAGTAAATTCTTAAATTAATGTCTTTTTACAAATTTATTGTCTTTATTTATTGGCTTTTTATAAAATTTTAAGCGATATTAAAATGTTTATGCCTTCAAAAAAAAAAAAAAAAAAAAAAAATCTTAGAACTAACATTTTTTTAAATATTTTTTATGTGTATACTGTATGTTGTCGCCAATAAAGTCTGCTTGGCGAGATTTGCGCCGGCCAAACGGAAAAGTACTTGTTTTTTAAAGTAACTTGTTTCAACTATACTAGATAATGAATTATTATTATTTATTATAAACATATGATCTTTTTAACTTTTTAAATCTTTTACATTTTCTTACTTAGAAATTAAAAAATAAATAATCCAAAGTATCCCTTAAAATTTATTTAAGCCTTTAAGTAGGTAAATGATGTAAAGCTGCCTTGATACGCAGTATGTTCACAACACACCATAAAAAATTAAGCCTAGAACTTTTTAAAAATATATTATAGTTATATTACAACAGCTAATATGTTATCGTTTTCCAGTCTTCATATACAATTTTAGGTTAATAAGTTACCTTGACTTTTTCCTCTCTGCCTTATTTATAACTTTTTACGTTTTATATACAAGTACTTATCAGATTCATTTCTATCAATGAGTCAAACAAGAGTGACCTGTCTCTGTTTTCGTCAGTTCTAAATTCTTGCAACAACCTTCGAAGATGCCACTGTAAATTTTACAAGAAATTTTGAAAAACTAAATAAGAATCTCTTTGAAATTATAAAATTTTAATTTAAATGTAAAAATCAAGCCGGAATCGATGCCAAAAATGAAACTAAAATTTATATGTGGCGAACAGATTAGCACCTAACACATCAGTATCTTAGTTTAATGGCTTAGTCCAGGAATGACTTTTCCTTCTGGCCTGGGATAAATAGAAAGAAGCATGTTGCCAACCTAAAGAAAGGAAATATTTAATAAATAAATATTTTTGATGCTGTGGTCACTTTATCAAGCATATCAAAAGTAAGCTGATCATATTTCCATGAAATAAAAACGGGACATCAGATAGGATAGGTAGGACAGAAGTTAAAGGAAGAAGAAGATGATAATAATAATGGTTAGATCTTCATTAATAGAACCCATATAAAAGTTTAAATTCGTCCTTAGAGACGGACAGTAATTTGACAAGAAGAATAATTCAATGAATATCTCTCTGGTGATGATATGCTACACAACAAATTTCGGCCATTCAGCACATTTGTAACATTCTATGATTCAGTTTTTATTTTTACACCTAGAATAGCTTGTGTCGTCTCAATATATTAATACTTTGACTATATACGAAAAAATATACAACGGGAAAAAAGGGTATAACGGAAACGTAGAAACTTGTCTTATCGCAAATGACACAGAATTTCAAACAATTTTGTCCAAAAAAATCGTCATCCATAGTAGCAGGACATTTTTATTGAGAAAGGAAGTTAAAAAAAATCTTATCAACTCATTAAACGGGCTTAGACAACCAGGACAGAGTTGCCGTTGATGAATATTAATTTACGACTAACTTGTAAACAAACATATTTATAGCTTTTATTGCAAATGGCAAAAAGATTGATAGCTTTATCAACATAACGGGACAGCCGGGGAATGTCAAAAAGAACGGTACTATCCTATTCAAAATAGTACGTATAGTCAGCTTAATCAAAGACTGACATTTTAGAGATTAAGAATGTGCGCATTGGAAAGTGCACGCGTGAACTACATTTTACTAATAAATGGATGTGGGTGTTCACAAAATGAGAATATGCTAAAAGGACTACATAGAACTGACCTGTTATAATAGTTTTCTTCTAATTAGATGAAACGAAACATAAAATGCAGAAAAATCAGATTAATGCAAATATTAATGTAATTGAATGCAGAGCCTAAAGTCATAGTTTGTCTACGACTAAGGCCACTGTCACAAATTATCTTTAAAATTAAACACCTATTATGAAATCAATACATTTTACATTGAAAAGAATTTTTAAAGAAATTTTTAAAAGAAAGAATTTAATATTTCTTTTTTGGTTCTTTAGATTCATCTTATTTTAAAATAAATTTATAATAATAAATCGAAATTAGATATTAAATTCATTTCCACTTACAGTTTTCTGGATTGCAGGCAGTACAACGGAATATAAAATTTCTAATTATTACACACTTTTCTCCAGAGGAATACATTTTCATTTGTCTATAAGATATATATATATAGATACAGGTGGAAATTTTGCCTGAGGAAACACACTTTCACTTGCGCTGTATGTCTAAGAAATTCTTCTAATGTTCAAGTCTCGAGAGAAAACTTTCACTCTCTTCTTTGTTCTTTTCATCGAGGTTGCCATAAATCCTTAATTTCGTAATAAAGCGCCAAAGTTGTTCTGAGGTGCAAATACTGCTTTCTGTACTTCTGTTAAAGATTAAAGATTCTAGTGAAGCTTAATGTGTATGATGATGGGAAAGTAGGCAAATTTTTTTTCATGAGTAATCTAATATTAATTTTTTATTAGAATTATGTTCATTAGATCAAATTCGTGATTTACTAATTAAATTTGATAATTATGAACATCAATAAAGCCAAATAAAAGTAGTTTAAAAGTCTGTATTTTAAGTTCTTATACGTATGCATAGTTAGGAATTAAACATCACAACAGTTTAAACGAATTAATTAATTAAGTCTATCGTAACGGTGAATTATTTAGCCTTAATTTTAATTTAAATTTCACATCTGCTTGTCTCTATTTCTACATTAAATATTTACTCCTGCCTTAAAAATTTAATTAGTAAGTGTATATTTAATTTGTGTAAAAAGGTTACTGAAAGTACTAAATACCCCCTCCCCCCCCCAAAAAAAAAACCTGAATATATAAAAATTAGAATACGTGTATTTTATTTTACTAACTATATAGTGTATTTGTGGGATTATGGCAAAGCTTCGAGGGTTATCTGCCTAATTCACGGGATTCGAACCTCAGACCGAACTACCAGTGTTCAGCGGCCTTACCGCTCGGCCGCTGGTGTGCCACTAGCTATATAGAAACTGCAGTATGTAATATCATACCACTACAAAAAACTAAAAGCTCTAATCATTAGGTAATATAATTATAAATCTTGAATATAAAATTATTATCTTAAAAATTTAATTAGTAATAGGTAATGCTATACTATTCTAAAGCTAAATATACTGCAGTAAATAATACTAAGATATTTCTGTAAAATAAGAGTTTAACTATGAATATAATATTTTATTACCATAAAAACTAAAAGCGCTAATTCTATGAAAACTAAATTGCTGCACAAATTCTTAAAAAATGGTCTTAAAATATTAAATCTTAAAAATACTCTAGAGAAAGACATTTTGACTAGGAAAAATCTCTATTAATCACTTTTCCTGAACGCCGGGAAGAAAATATGGGACGATGTACTAGTGTTGAGTGCTATAATTCATTAAGCATCTTTGATTGGCTTACAGTTTTTTTAATAAACTAAGGGATCTCTGGGAACTATACAGTAGTGCCAAAAGAAATGGTAGTCAGACGATTTGGGAATTGTGTAAGTGAGAGATCAATTGTTGGCACATAAAAAGGTTAACGTAGTTTATTATTATTGATCTTAGAATATTTCGGTAAAAGTTTACAATTGGGTGCCCCTTATTTTTTGGCGATTCTTTTTGACGCCAAGATCGGCGCCAGGAAGACATAATTTCAAGATGGCCGCTACACAAAACCAAAATAAAAAGTCAAAGAATTGCATAAACTCTGTGTCCATGTACACATCGATCTGTTTTCACTTAAAAAAAATCCCAGAATTGCACAAACTAGGCATTGCGCACTGTTTAAATTTGTCCACGTACACATCAATCTATTTTTATTTAAAAAAAATCAGGAGGTTAAAGCAAAGTTACACTATCATAGTAACCAGAAATAAGATTTCATTGCCAAAATTTTACAAAAAATTGTCGCTAATCGAAGGGGCACCCAATTCTACACTAGAGCCGAATATTTCTTGTATCTATTATTCTGCATTTGGTGTCAGTGTTGTTGTAAAGTGAAATATTCCTGTGCAGCTTTTACTGTGATAATAGCTAACTTCGAAAATGTATTACAGATGCATGTTTTGTGTACTATAGACTCTAGTATTAAAATGACACTAGCGTAACTATGCACCATGCTACCGAATTTCATGATTGTGGTAACAACACAACTGAATGTTTTGAGTTGCGAAAAGGAATTAATTATGATTTTACTCAAGAGCATCTATTTATTGTCCAAAAATAATAATACATGCAATATTTAGTAATCATCCTTGTTTAAATCATCAAAATAAAGTTTTTGTATTCTGGAATGACTTCTTATTTCCATTAAGGAAAATGATTTAAGTTATATATAAATAAACATTTTCATGAGGTTTTTAAATAAAAAAAATTAGTAAATATCATATAAATATTTAACCAAATATTTGAAACCGAAAATATGTTTCAATGGATAAAAAAATAATATTAAATACCTAATTAAATACTTTGTTATTATTGATTTGCCAATTGTTTGCACTGTTTTTCCATTTTTCCTTCACATAGCTATACTTTTTACATGACTTTTTCGCATAGTTTTAGTTTTGAAAACCCACTTTGAGTGCAGAAATAGAGTTAGCTTTTGCTATAATGGTGTGAATGAAGATTGTTCTAAAATTCTTTTCAGCAAATTCCTTTCATTCTCCTTTAGATGATGCCAAATCGAGTAATATGGAGCCAAATGTGGTGGATATACTTTTAAAGTCCTCACAACATTGAGAAAGTGACAGCTGTTGGAAACGAGGAAGTGAGGAAATGGCTGGTCCCAGTCACTCCCTCACGACCCCGATTTTCAGGAAGTAACCGCTGCAGTGTAGATATCCTTTAAATACCATCTTCCGAAAGCGACTCAGCTTCCTCACCAACCTGGTGACCTACTTTTGTGATACGAAAGGTTAAGAAATTCATATACGTTCTTTTGTTTTGCCTTTGATAAGAATTCTAAATAACAAATATTGTGCCGACAGCACCTGTTGGCGTTTCCCGGTTTAGATTTAAAACTTGTGACGTCTGGGTTCTATTCTACAACAGATTAAATCATATTAGTAGTTTTTAATATCGAAAACATGTTGCTATTTACACGTCGCAGTCTACATGCAAATTCAAAGTGAATGGCTAGCTCTCCTAATCTTAACGTGAAATTCAATTAGATCATATCAACAATGCCGGCGCTAGGTTTCTTTCTCCGCCCGGTGCAATCACTTCAATCTGCCGCCCAATAACTTCCTAAAAAAATTTTACAAATTCTGCTGCCCGGTGCTACTGCGCTTGTTGCATATGTCCTGCATATCAATTAACAAATACAATCTACAATACTGAAATTCAAATGATTCAGTACCAGATACATAATAATATATGACATTAAAAATATCATTTATTCATTATAATAATGCTACATGTATTTAATCATATCAATTGATATATTATTCAAAATAAAATAAAAATTTGAATTTTTAATAAATGTATTTATTTCTTTTATGTACTTTAGTTTGCCTACTAGTGGCCGAGCGGTAAAGTCCCTGAACACTGGTAGTTCGGTCCGAGGTTCGAATTCAGGGAAAGGGGTTGGCTGCATGAGCGTTTTCGTGGTTATCCCTAATGTGTAACGTGTTAATATGACCACGTTTCCCTTAGAAAGTTGGGCCCACCAGCGGCCGAGCGGTAAAGACGCTGAACACTGGTAGTTTGGTCCGAGGTTCGAATCTCGCGAACGCGCTGGCTGCATGGGCGTTTTCGTTTTTCCCCCATGTGTAACTTGTATACGAGCCAGTTTCCCTCAGAAAGTCCTCCACGAAGGCATCCCTCTCTTCAGGCAGATAGCCCTCGTGTGCTTTGCCATAATTAAGTAATCCAATCCAGTCCAATCCAATCCCTTAGAAAGTTCTCACGAAGGCATTCCTCCCTTCCGTGTAGTGCCTTAAGGCGGAACACATAAATAATAATAATAATATACTTTAGTTTGTTAAATAACTAGAGACTGATCACCTCTGAAAGATAAAATTAATGATCTTATGTCTTGGGTAACATTCTGAGAACAGATTATTCACGAGAATGGATAAAATATAAGTTAAAGACCTCAGACTTCGCGTAGTGGTGAAACAGTGAGATGTGGAATATATGCATGGTATTGTAACAAATGTACGAGCCCCGAATTTTTTGAAAGACTTCGTTATATCATCAGTAAGAATAAAATCAGGATACATAACTCAGTTAATTAATATAGCATATAGTGTATTTTCACTATTCAAAATTTGGGAATACTGAATGCAATTCGAGGCATTCCATATGATAATAGTATACGGAGTCGAGGAGAGGATTCCCAGGGAAGGAAGTGTTCCTAGACCAAGGCGCTTTGATTACGGAGTACATTCGTAATTAAATGCAATTACCTCTGCATCTTCGTTAATGAAATATGAAACAGCTAAAAGAAGGCATTCGATAAAGAGAGTGAAAGAAAGCCGTAATGGGCTGGAAAAAAGCGCTCGATAGGAGGTTGTGTTCCTGGGCGGAATGGACGGAGTACGTCGGGAGTACTCCTAATAAGGCCACCAAGGCTTAGGTTTGAAGGTAATTTAGTAGGTAGTTTAACAGGTAATTGTTACCAGAAAAGTGAAACTGCAGTTTCTTGATAGCTGAAAACCATGAAAGTTTCTCGCCAGGGGATGCAAATAAAATTCGTTTCTTGAAGCGTTCCCGAGTGTTCCTTTTTACCAGATTTGTTGAAATATTCATGATGAGTATTAGTGGATCTGGGATAAATGCGAATCAAATTGGCTGAGGAGAACAGGTAAGACAGGAATCGAATTAGCTATGAAAAATCACAAATGCTTTTTGAAAAACGGAATTAGGATTATTAATTTTTTACCTAGAAACACATAAAGAAGCCCAGTTTTAAAATAACATACCTAGGCAATAAATGGCGCAGTATATCTGTATACTGCGTTTCAGTGTTATATGGCCAATAACTTAATTTCCATTAACAATTTTTCCGAATCCTCTGTGCACACTGGCGGCCAAGCGGTACGATCGCCAACACTGGTAATTCGGTTGGGACTCAAATTTCAGCTAATGGACTAGCTGTATGGACGCATTTCTGATTTTCCCTCATATGTACCATGAAAATAAGCTGGGATCCCTTAAAATGCTTTTCGCTGGTGTATTAAGTTACACCAATGCAGGCACATAATCTTAAAAGCCTTATCCTAGATAGAACACGCTG